TCGCAATTTCTGCCTCCGACATTTCCATCCACCGTGCAAATTCTTTTATCAGCCTTACCTTTATATTCTCATTTTGTATTTCTGGTACTTGTCTCAGTCTCAGATTCACTTCTTTCTGTTTTAATTCATTCATTGCAATAGAGTCTTTTAGTTCTTCCTGTGTTCTGTTTAGGTCCGCAATCTCATTTTTCATCTTCTCTTCTTCCCGCTTCATCTCTTTTATTTCCTGTTTTGATTTCTTTAGTCCTTCATCCACTCTCCTTGAGACCTCTTTAATTTGTCCCCTCAGCTCACTGACTGTCTCCTCAATCTTTTTATCCATTTTCCCAATTTTGTTATCAACCTGTTCTAATTTTGTCTCTAAGTTTTTTTCGCTTTGTTTTATTTCAGCAAACATTTTCAGTATTTCTGTTTTAAAATCTGATTCTTGCTTTGAAGCTCTCCTGTCTGATGGCATCCCACCCTCCGCTCCTTTTTTCTGTGTATGCGACATTGTTTAGCTGTCTAGGAGGTTAGTTATTGACTTACTTATTTACTGTACACTCACAACCTGTGCTTATTATCATAGAAGTAACCACAGATCTACCGAATGTACAGAGCCAATGGTCTAGACAGAGCAAATAATGTAAATAGAAGATTTACAAAGACTGGTTTCTTTAGGCTCTTTAGGTTCTTTAGGTTCCTCCTTTCCTGGCCCCTCTCTTATTATTGATGGGGCTTTGATGTTGTCACCTCTTTCTATGATTTCCTGTAATCTTCTTGCCCCTATTCGGGCTAATCCAAACAAACGGCCTGTAATCTTCTTGCCCCTATTCGGGCTAATCCAAACGGCCTGTAATCTTCTTGCCCCTATTCGGGCTAATCCAACCAAAGCGTTAGAACTTCACAAAGCGTTAGAACTTCACAAAGCGTTAGCACTTAAATACACCGGATCTAGGTGCTAATTTATATAGTTCAATAGATTTCAAACCAGATCCAGATCTACACCGAGGGGAAGTATCAGATTGTCCCAAATGAGAAAGCGAGGGTAGTTTTAATTTCTTATATGTCCCAAAACTTATATTATGTCCCAAAGCTTGTCATATATCCCAGAACTTTTGTCCTAGAAATACTAGATTATATGTGTATCTCAGTTCTCGCTAAGTCAGAAAGGGGAAGGAAGAGAGGTAACTATCAAAATTAAATCTTTGGTAAAGAAGTCCTGCATATACGGCTGTTCTCCCAACAGTTTTACAGAACACAATATGGCACCCCCCAAAAAATCCAGCAATAAGAGTAGAGTATAGTATTTTGTTCCAACCACTAGGGGGGGTCTAATTCTGTCGACCAATAGACAAAGGATCTTAGCTTGTATGTCCTCTTCTCTCCTTCTATTATTTTCCTTATTTTTCGTTTTGCCAGTCTTATTTAAGGGGGGAGAGAGGGAGCTTGTTTAGGAGGCTTCAGACCTCCTGCAGAGAAGAAGCGACAGTCTATTTTACCTTCGCTATCTATTTCTATCTTTCTGTGGACCCCTTTTTGCGGGTCTTTAAAATGGCTTCAGAGGCGAAATTTCCTCTCTGCTTTCTGTTGAAATGGCGCCGGAGCAACCCCTCCGCACAAGAGTAATTACCGTAACGCCAGCAGGGAGTCTTTTTTTATGTTCGAATCTCAGATATAATGTCCACTGGGGATTTTGTTCTTTCACCAGATTGCTCTGCTCCCCTTTCTCTATCTCTGTCTCTTCCTGTAAAGAAGCAACTTAGTTTCCAAGTAATCAGGGAGACTGCAACAATGTCCGCTAGCGTCAACTTACTTTCTCTTTAGACTCTGCAACCAGCACTGCGTCTTTCTTTTACGATGCCGGACAACGCTGAACTCACAATCTTCTCCTTTTCTTCGGGCACTTCCTTACCGTTCCTCATCAAAATTTAGCAAGTAAATATTCAGAGCCCGAATTTCTCTTGTATTGAGAGCGGAGCGCTATTCCCTGCAGGCTCGGGGCTTCGCTGATTAGCCGCTGCAATGGCTGCCCGATTGCCCGCTGCGCGTTCCGTCACGCTCTTCACCCCGACTTTCAGGGCTACCTGGCGACTGGACGTGCAGCTTCTGGCACCGCCGGGAACCTCCAGACCTCCAGACACCCTCTGGAAAGGTCGTCGGAGGGTTTTCCGCCCTAAAACCCTCCTTTTCTCGGCTAAAAAGCTAGGGCTTTCTCTCCCGAAAAAACCCTCGCCTGCGGCAGGTCCGCGCTCCACCGGAAGTCTCCCCTGCTTCTATATCTTCTGCCCGAGGGCAGGAGATCAAGAAAGTGCCGGCCAGGGTGTGAATCATCCCTGAGAATTTTCCTCACTCTCCTGAGGCAACGTTCTTCTGCTATTTCATCCAGCGGATTCACGGCACAGCCCATAATATCTTGTGCTGTATTCACCGCCCTCTGTAGGCACTTCCTATCTGTTGGTGTCCAACCAGCGTCTCACACCGTGATGCAGTAGGAAAGGACACTTTCTATTGTGGACCGGTAGAAGGAGATCATCAGCTGTTGATTGACATCGTTCTTCTGCAATATTCTGAGGAGATGGAGTCTCTGTTGGGCTTTCTTAACCACCTGGGTTGTATTGATTTTCCAAGTAAGGTCTTCACTGAGATAAACTCCTAGGAATTTAAAGGAAGGGAATCTCTCCACACAGCGGGGCTAGTTCTCTCTTCTCCGAAAGTCCAACACCATCTCCTTTGTCTTACTGATATTAAGGTGCAAGTTGTTCCCTAGGCACCATGTAGCTATTTTTTGGACCTCCCCTCTAGACGCTGATTCATCTCCACCTGTTATTAAACCCATTATGGTGGTGTCATCTGCAAACTTAATAACTGCAGATTATAAATAATAATAATAAATAATTTATTTAAATGACTTGGACGAAGGAATTGAGGGAATGCTCATGAAATTTGCAAACTGGGAGGGGTAGCTAACGCCACAGAAGACAGAATCGGAATTCAAAATGACCGTAACAGATTGGAGAACTGGGCCCAAACTGACAAATAGGGACAAATGTAAGGTTCTGCACTTAGGCAGGAAGAACAAGCTGTCACAACAGTAGAGGGAACAATATTATTTTCTGCCGCACCCGAACCAATGGATTCTAATTGCAGGAAAGGTGGTTGCGACTAAACGTCAGGAAAAACTTTATGGAGGCTAGAGCAGTTTGACACAGGAGCAGAATCCCTTGCAAAGTGGTGGTCTCTCCTTCCTTTGGAAGGGGTTCTTTAACGGCAATTCCTGCGTTGTACGAAGTTGGACTAGATCCACTGGGTTCCCTTCCAATTTGACAATTCTATGAGCATGTAAACAGCAGCTGCATCTAGAGTTATGTCACTGGGTGCCATCTAATTTTGGAAGTTAAGCAGGGTCCGGTCTGGATGGGAGACCACCTGGAGATGTTGTGTATGGTGGGATTCTTCCTTTTGCTCCCATAAATTGTCACTTCGACTTTCTCATCTCAGAGCTCAGGAACCATCTCTTCTTCTTTTTTTTTTCTTCCCCAAAATCCAAAGATTGTTCTGACACCTTAAAAGGGAGATTTGATGCAGATTTTTCCCATGCATGAATTTCCCATTCAGGTCGTGGCTGTAAAAAGGTAAAGGGATCCCTGACCATTATGTCCAGTCGTGGCCGACTCTGGGGTTGTGGTGCTCATCTCGCTTTATTGGCCGAGGTAGCCGGCGTACAGCTTCCGGGTCATGTGGCCAGCATGACTAAGCCGCTTCTGGCGAACCAGAGCAGCGCACGGAAACGCCCTTTACCTTCCCGCTGGAGTGGTACCTATTTATCTACTTGCACTTTGACGTGCTTTCGAACTGCTAGGTGGGCAGGAGCAGTAGTGGCTGTAACTGGTTGCAATTTCAGGGGGGATTGTGAGACAGAAGGGAGAGGATTTCCCAGCCACCTTTGCATCAAATGTGCCATTCAAGGCCTTAGATTAAAGTGTCTCTGCTGCTAGCTTAGGCTTTTAAGATATGAAGAAAACTATTCAAACTGAATCAGACCAAAGCCTTCCTAGTGACAGACATGTCAGAGCTGTCTAGCGGGTGGTGTTTCAAAACAGCTCCCTGCATAAAAAAGCTTGAATCCCTAAACTTGAGATGTACTATGCAAGGAGATAGGAACATTGAGTGTGGACACTGGACAGAGCAGGAGAAGGTGCAGTTAAACTACACTGTAACTGTCTGTTAAAATGTTCTTAACTTATCATAACTGCAAAAGGAAACAATAAAGGTGATTTTTAGACTGGGGGGGGGGAGGAGGGGATTCCTGGGTCTGAGTTGCAAAAGGGGAAATTGCAAAAATGCCTACCGCACCCAGTATTCCCAGGCGGTCTCCCATCCAAGTACTAACCAGGCCCAACCCTGCTTAACTTCCGAGATCGGGCGGGATCGGGTGCATTCAGGGTGGTGTGGCTGTAGGCGGCAGAAGGGCTTTCAATGGCCCTTTTCTGGTCCTGACTCCGCCTTTGCAAGAGTTTGCATTTCACCCAGCTCTTTTTTCCTGCTCCTGCTGCCTCCCAGTGCTGCCTACCCAAGGAGAAACGCATCCCTTTTGCTTTCACTCCCTTTCTCCTGCCAAATCTTGCAGGCAGGAAAATGCTGGCACTTGCAACGGGGGCTTTGCAGCTGCAGAACGCCTTTCCTCCGGAATTGCAACCGTGCAAGAGCTGCAAAAACCGCTCACCGTGCATTATTTTATTTTATTCTATTCTATTTTATTTTATTTTGCATTCTGCTCTGCTAAATCCCAGAACTTGCCCTGGGTTGCAGCGGTCAGAGAGGCGGAACGAGCCTGTGCTCTCCTCGCTCCTGCCAGCAGGTGGCGCTGCGCAGCCATCCCTTAGAAAAGAACGGTGCGCGGGCGAGACGGCAACCAGATAAATCAGCGGCGGTGGGCGCGGCCTGCGCGCGCATGCGCACCCCTTAAGCATTCCCGGCCTTGGAGCAGCTCTGCGGCTCTCCTCCGGGGGCGGGGCGAAGAAGGTGCGCGGGCGGGCGCAATCGCCTCGCCGCCCGCAGGGAGTTGTGCGGCTTTGCTGCCGTTCTGACCTCCCGCCCGCAGGTGGCGCTGTACGGAGAGCGCTCTTTTGACCAAAAAAAAGGGAACGCCGGATGTGACGTCAAACCCACAGAGAACTTCCGCCTCCTTCGGAAAGGAAGGGGAGGTTTCCCAAAACAACATGGTTGCTTTGCAAATCTTGGAGCCTGGGGGGTGTGGGCTGGGTGGGCAGGTGCCCAGATGTATTTGTTTGCTCGGTTACATTAAAATAATAAAGATTGCAGTTAATCATGTATTTAAAATTAATTTATTCAATTAATTAATTAATTAATTAATTAATTGAATTAATTAATTAATTATTCAAAATAGCTTATTCAAAACTTATTCAACTTATTCAAAAGGTAAATATTGCAATTATCAAAGTGACCCCCGGGTATAGGGCGGTATATAAATTCAAGAAATGAAATGAAATAAAAATAATATTGCAACTAATAAAATGAAACATCAACATGGTTTGCAACTGTTCCAGCACATCCTGAAATATGAGTGAATTTGGGGTCCCTGCAAGGGGTTCAGCTTCTTAAGGAAGGCTGGGCCTTCGGAAAACGTGCTCTTTGAGGCTCAAACCGGTCAGGAAATAAACACAGACCAGACCAGGGATTTTCAGAAAGCAAAGCGGCTGGAAGCCTGGTCCTTTATTAAAATTATATGCAGAACTGTTGGCAACAGAGTTCCCACTCACGTAGCAGGCAGCCAAGAGAGAACCCCAAATAAAAGAGAATTTTGACCTATATACCTTTTAATTTCCATACAGAACAATGGTAACAGAAGACGTCAAAGAAGGCGCGGTGAGAGGATTAGAACAGGTGAGTGGGGTGACGGAAGGGGTTGAATTGTTTTAATGGTGGCGTCGTTAATTGCAATTGTTGGACATAAAAGGTTTTGGGCTGGTTTCTGTTTCCAGAGGTGTTGGCTAATGGGTTTGTTTTTCCTTTATTTACAGGAAAACTTCGGAGCTGCTAGGTGCTGTCTGATAAGGAGACAGGATTTTGGGAGTCGCTTATCAGTGCAGGTGTGTTGCCTTATTCTGCATTTTTCCTTTATTTAAATAAAACTATCTGAGGTTGTATTTGTGTGTGTGTGTGTCCATTTGCAGACTCATTAGATGGTGCTGGGAAGCAGTTTGACAGTTGCGGGCGGTACAAAGTCAATTTTACAGTTTAGATACATAGTGATACAAAGTTTAGATACATAGACAAAACTATAAAACGAATAAGAAAATAGGAAGGAAATTGATACAAAGATTGAACTCCAGTTACCAAGATTTGCAAGGTACAATTCAGTTAGAAGGGCAACGTTTTAAAGGAAAGGAAATAGGCATACCACACAGGGTTCATAAATTTATTTCGGAATCCCCTCTCTGGTCATGGATTCTCTTATAACACTTACAAACACACAACACCCCGAACAAGCTTTGAAACAAATTATTATAATTTGTATTGTGTATTATCATTATGTATTATGATTTGTCATTTTCCTTGCCCAGCTACTCAAAGCATTCTGCTAATCCGTAGGACAGAGCTTTCCAAACTGTGTTGCAACACATTATTGTGTTGGCTGCAGTGTGTCGTGTGAACGCTCCCCACATTCCTCCCGGGGCTGGAAAGTGGTTCGTTTAACCTTTGGTTTGCTAGTAAAACTGAATCACTGTGTCGCGCAATAATGCAAGTCTGAAAAGTGTGCCACCATCATGAAAAGTTTGTGAAGCTCTGCTGTAGGATGTTGCCATGTGTACTGATTTATTTATTTTAATGAAATTTGTAAGCGAGAAAGAGCCTGAAGTTTGCTCAGGGGAACGAAAAAAATAGAGAGCGGCAGAATTTGGGGAGCAGAATTTTAATACGGAACAACCGAAAAATAAATCCAGATATAAATACTTGAAAACCAACGATGCACGGATCCTCCAGGCACTGATCAACGATGCAAGCTGGTTGAAATTCGCCTTTGGCAGCCCATTGACAGAAGCTGCGTGGATATTCATGGACTGAAGCTGGTGTGCTTGTCTGTCCTTCTGTCTGCATGTCTCTCATCCTGCCTTTCCGTGTGATTCGGGGTGTGAAAGGGTTTGTGTGTTTCAAATGTGGCCGGGTGCATTCAGGTGGGATGGGGTGGAACTTCACATCTTATACAATCTTTTTGGACTTCCATCAGCACCTCTGATGATCCACCATTTTTATCACTTCTTCTGCATTTCTTAAATTCCTATTGCCTTTAATTATCTTAACTCACAATCCACCTCTTTAACCATTTTTGCAATAATTCAAATAATTTACCTCACAAAACTTCTTGCAAACCTACAAACGTAATCTGGTCATCACAATTACTTTTCAAATAGTCCGTAAATTTACCTGGTCCCGCAGGTTTCGAATTCTTCCAGTTAGTTTATCCTAAAAAGATGTAGAGTTTCGCTAGAGGCCCAGCTCCACCAGGGACCTCCTGCCTCAAACTGTGCCAGCCATTCATTATAGGAACAACTGTTTAGAAACAGGCGTCTGAGTTTTGATTTTGACTTTCCTCTTCCCTCCTTGGCCTGCTTCCCTTGTGTGTTGTGCGGCTTCTTTAAAAAATTGCAAGCCTGTGGCTAGGGAGTGTCTTGTTTGGATTGCATCTAAACCACTCTGGATTTAAACCAGATGATGCCATGTGTTAACTTAAAAAAAATAGTGTAAAATCAAAAGTACAGGCTAAAAAAATCAAAAATCTAAGCTAACCTAGGAGCATAATTTGCCCATTTGAACAAGTGGGACAATCAAATAGCAATTGTCTGATCTAAGGAAGTTATTACACAGCTTCTGGTTGCAAGAAGAACTTCTTCGGCCAATTTGAGCGCTGACTACTGCAGAGAAAATAACTCACAAATTTCGCATTTCTAAGGGTAAGGAAAACCCAGAACACTTCTACACTCTTTGATGGGATTCCATTTCTTACGTGTCAAATTGAGACGCATAAAAACCCTTCTTCCCCCACCAAAACATTAAATTTGGCCATTGTTCCAGGAAAAAACTTTCTGGCAGTGATTGACAAGGGAACAAACCCACTCAGAAGATGGTGGAATCTCGCTGGAAGTTTTTCAACAGAGGTTGGATGGCCAGGGATTCTTCAGCATTGCTAGGGGTCAGGCTAGATGACTTTGGGGGTCCCCCTTCCAACTCTTCCATTCTATGAGCCCACAATTTGTTTTGCTGCTTTTTCTACATCATCTGCCCTCTGTTTTGACAACACAACCTTTGACTTTATTGTACATTGAGTATCTATCATCAGTCCTTTTCTCAGGGTTGGAAAATCTGGCCAAAGTCAAAGCACTTTTAAGCACTGTGGGAGAAAATTAAGGCCCTGGGTTGGGGAGGGCTTGATTTGGGGAAATGAGCGTTTGCTGGTGAATAAGGGAGATATCGTACATCGCTTGATATCCAGGCATCCGAATCTGGCTTGATCGCTTGAAGCCAAATGTGTCTCCACTAGAAAGTGTGGCTCCCAGATGTTTCGCTCTACAACTCCCATCAGCTGGCTGGGTGCTGATGGGAATTGTAATCCCAATTGCCCCTCTGGCTGGGGGAGTCGATGAGAGTTTTATTCCCAAAAACCTTGGAGGGCACCAAGTTGGGGAACACTGGTTTAGCCAGCTGCGTCAGGACAGCGTGGGTTTATTTATTTATTAAGTAATAAGCCTCCAAAGAAACCCATCAGTGATTTAAAAAATATCCTTAAAATAAGAGAAAGGGGTGGGGTGGGGGACACAGTTAAGCATCTTTTAAAATATCATTTTAAAATAATCAAATAGGTCAATGTTTCCAGGAAAGTGTTATCCAAACTTGGGTCTCCAGCTGTAGTTGGACTACAACTCCCATCATCCCTACCTAGTAGGACCACTGGTCAGGGATGATGGGAATTGTAGTCCAGCAACAGCTGGAGACCCAAGTTTGGGGGGGGGGAAACAGCAAGTAGTTGCGATCCCTTTCCCCCTCCATTCCTAGAAGCTCGGAGCAACCCGCGCACGATGTACAAACGCCAAGCGAAAGACACGTGTCTGTGGGACCGTCTGCCCCCCTAGCCACGCTGGTTGCGCGCTTCCAATCCACGAGGGCGCGAGGGGGAGGAGGAAAAAAAAACAAAAACCCCAACCCGGTGCACGTGTGAACCGGCCACGTCCGCGATGCGGCCTCTTTCCCGCGCGGGCGAGCGTAACGTGTGAACGAGGCGTGACGCGTGTCCCTCCTCCGAGGCGGCTATCTCCCCCTTTTTTTTTTTTTTTTTTGCAAATCCCGAGCCGTTTTACGTAGGAAGGATAACTCGCGGGGCGGTGCGGGAGAGAAAAGAGCGGGCGATCGGTGGCGGCTCCGCCTCGGCCCTGCAGGGGGCGCGCTTCCCGGCCAGGCCCCCGTTGCGAGTGTTGCTTTTTTCCTCGCCCCCCCCAAACCAAATCGCTACAATTGCGCCTTGTATGTTTCCCTCGGATGTGAGCAGCCCAGCCGCGCGCCCGCCTCCTCCTCCTCCGCCTCCGATCCTCCGATCCTCGGGCTGCCCCCCTCCCGGGACCCCCCCAGCCCGGCCCGGCCCGGCCCTGGAGCCCCGATCCGGCCCTTCTCCCGCCCAGAGCCCCCCCAGCAGCCCAGGGCCATGGCCGAATGGGCCCCTGCCCAGGTGAGCCGGGAGCGAAGATGGAGGGGGGGGGGGCATGATCCGGATCGAGAAGTTGATTCGGAGTCCGGAGATGGTTGGGACCCCCCCCCGCTGTGGATGCATTGGGGGGGGGGTAGGCCTCTTTGCTGCCTGGAGTGGGGGGGTGGGATGGGAAAACCGGGCCTCCCCCCCCAGCAGACCCTAGTAGTTTTATTGGGGGGGGATGTCCTGGGGGAGGAGATCCATTAGGAGATCTCTTCTGGGGGGGGGAGAGGAGAGGATCTCTTTGATTTTCCTTGGGAGAGGAGGATGCGGGGGGGGGATGAGGAAAGAGGGGCTGATCCGGATTGGGGGAGGGGGCTCCCGGTGGGGGGGGGCAGAGCTGGTATGAATGGGGCTGGAAGGAGGTGTGTTTGGGGGGGGGTTGATGTGAGGGAAAAGGTCCCATTGCAAAAGCTGGAGGTGGGGGCAGCACTGGAAAGCCCTCCCTTCCCAGGGGATCCAACTTGAATAACAATATGGGGGGAGGCAGGTAAGCTCTGCCCCACATAATCGATCACCCCCCCCCATTTGACCGGCCATGCCAATTCAACTTTGCAAGGGGGGGCCTGGACCTCTCGAATATTTTAATGGACCTCAGTCCTGTGCTCCCCATCTATTCCTCTGTTTCATTTTTCCTGGAGGGGCCCAACTGCTTCGGGGCCCCCTGCTTGGCTTCTCGGGATTTTTTGGGGGGCGCAGATATCTGGGGGGGGGAGTCGGCATTTTGGAGGGGCGACCACACCCCCCCCAGAGGCTCACCCATCCTCTTGGATGCAGCCATGCTGTTTTTGCACAAGCCTATTTCTGCAACTTTGGGGGACCTCTGAGAAGATGCTCAGTTTGCTTTTGAGAAAAGGGGGGGTAGGGAGTGATTTCTCCCCCCCCCCAGTAATGAGATTATTTTTTCTTCCTTGGGGCCTCCCAGTAGTGAACAGCTAACCCCTTCCTTGCAGTGACACAGCACTCGGGTTGCACAGTTATTTATTATTATTGCTATTAATTTGTTGCGTTCCTATCCAAGGAGTTTGAGGTGGTTCTCCCCCAGTCTTCGTTTACCCCCCCACAAGAACCCTGTGAGGTGGGTTTTGGTTGAGAGGCAGTGACTGGCCCAAGGTCGCTTCACGACCCAGCGGAGACTTGAACCCAAGTCGTACTCTGCTGCTCTAACCACTACACCTCACTGCCGCTCAGCTCTCTCTAGCAACTTGGGTAAACTTGGTAGGAACGGCTTGATTCCCCTCCTGCATTCACGCCTGGCAAGGGAACCAGACCTCTTGCCTTTGACTACAACTCCCATCATCCAAAGCTAGCAGAACCAGCTGTCAGGGATGATGGGAATGGTAGTCTCAAAAATGGTAGTCCTCCGCGATTTAAAAAACACATTTAAAATAAGAGAAAGGGGTGTGG